GCATGCGTTTACACTTAAACTGTTTGAAGTTGGTCATTCAGATTTATATCTGTGTTTTTTAATTTGTTGACTTCCATAGATTCTATCAAGGATAGCTTAAGGCCTTTATTTTGAATGTGAAGAATTTTAAATTCATCGTTAAAAGAATGATTGTGATCTAGAAGGTAAAGTGCGTATGTAGAATCTGTTTTTCTATTATTGAAAGCTCTTTTATGTTCTGCTATTCGTTTATTAAAGTTTCTACCAGTTTGACAGATGTAAGTTTTTGGGCAGTCGCCACATTTAAGTTTGTACACACCGTGTAAGTGTTTTTAATTTTGGCTCTTGTTGTTTTTAATATATTTGCACAGGTTGTTATTTGTTCGGAAAGCTGGTGTTATTCCCTTCGTTTTTATGTGTTTGGCTATTTTTATTGATATTTTGCCTGTATATTTAATCGAGCAGAAAGTACTGGGTTTATTCTCTGGTTCTAATTTCAGGGTTTTCTTGTGTAGTTTTTGATTTAACATTTTATTCATTGTTTGTTCGTTGTATTCGTTGTTTACTGCTATTTGCTTAATGATATTTAATTCTGTCTTAAAATTGTATTTTGACGTCGGAATTTCTGTTAATCTATGTAACATACTATGATAGGCTGCCAGTTTACGTTGTGTTGGATGGGATGATGAATTGTGTATAGTCGAGTCAGTATGGATAGGTTTATGAAATATGGAGAAGTCATGTTTGTTTTTAAGTCTGATAATTTTTAAATCTTAAAAATGGATTGATTTTGTTCTGTTTCTATTGTGAATTCAATATGACTATGAAGTGGACTAATATACGATAAAAATTAATCGAGTTGCCTGTTAGCTCCTGTGAAACATACCAGTACGTCGTCTACGTATCTCCACCAATATAAAAACTGTTTAAATACGGGATGTTTTGAAATCTTTATCTCTAGATGATCCATAAAAATATCTGATAGCAATGGGCTTAGAGGATTGCCCATTACAAGTCCTGCACTGTTATTTGTATATATTTGATTATTAAATTCAAAGTAGTCCTGGTTTATGCAAACTTCAAGAATATGTAAAATTTCAGATGTAATTATTGGATTTGCACTATTTTGGTCTAGAAGGTTTTTTACTAGAATAAAAGCTTATGTAGGAGGGATACTAGGAAAAAGATTTTTTACGTCAAATGAAATTAATCTGGAGTTGTTAGGTAATTGAAAATGTTGTATTTTATTAACTAGTTCTATTGTATTTTTTATGGTTGGTTTGACTTTCGTAACGGATACGGAACGGTGGAAGCTCTGTATAGTTTCACAACTCTTGCCCAAAAATTTCGAGATCAACAAAAAGATCTTTTCGTTGCATTTATAGACTATGAGAAAGTTTTCGATAAAGTTAAACATAACATTTTCATGGAATGTCTAAAGAGAAAAGGACTCGACAAAAATGACATTAACGTAGTGAGAAATCTCTATTCGAACCAACAGGCTAACAGTAGATGGAAATAGCACGGATGCGAAACAGATAAGTAAAGGAGTGAGACAAGGCTGTGTACTTTCACCATTATTATTTAATATATATTCCGAAGAGTTATTTACGCAAGCACTTGAAACCTGTACAGAAAGGATCAAGATAAATGGTGAAAATATAAATAAGATCCGTTAGGCTGACTATACAGTCATTATCGCTGAAAGTGAGACAGACCTGCAGACGTTACTAAACACAAATTGTGATACTAGGGAAGAGTTTGGTTTAACAACAATCATAAAGAAAACAAAAACCATGGTTATCAGTAAGAGGAGCAGTCATTACAAGAATCCAGATAAAAAATGAAGATATTGAGCATGTGGAAAAATGAAATACTTAGGAGTCTGGATTACGGAAGATCTAAATCTGAAATCACAAATTCGCTCAAGAATAGAGCAATCGAGAGCAGCCTTTTTGAAGATGAAGAACCAAAGACTCAATCTGTAAATCCGATATCGGATATTAAAATGTTATATCGACTCTATTCTTCTTTATGGTGTCAAAGCCTGAACTGTTAATGTTGACTTAATGAGAAAACTAGAAGCTTTTGAGATATGGCTTTTTAGGAGAATTTTGAAGATACCATGGACCGATCATATTACAAACGAAATGCTGTTGCACATGTTGGAAAGAAACAGAGTTTAACCACCAATAAATGGTGAAAGACAGCATATTTGAGGTACATACTTAGAAATGATGAGTACGAGTTGTTGCAGCTGATTGTGAAGGGTAAAATGAAAGGAAAGAAGGGGTCCTGGTAGACGACAAATACTCTGGCTAAAAAACATTCGCGACTAGACCGGGTTAAACACACATACGCTCTTAGAAAAGCAGAAGATAGAGACGAATTTGCAATGGTTATACCCAACCTTAACTAGTGGAGACGGCACTATAAGAATAAGAAGCTAAATGGACCGTACTTGTGTCTATTATTTTTACTGAAGAAACTTGTCATAAACTATATTTTTCGCTATATTTACAATGGCATATCGGTTGGTATAATTGGAATGAGAACTTCCTCATCCTTATCCCATTCCCATCAAATTTTCCTTTGCGTATTGTAGCATGTATTCTATCGCCTACAAGTTTTTACACGAATATTTCTTGGATAATCCATTACATGACTTACTTTTTTTAATTAGTTTTCGTCCAAAATAATTTAAATGCTAACTGTCTTACTAGTTCTTTCATAGCTATTGTTTCAAAAAATATTAAAAATATTTAATAACATCCACACATTAACCCTTCGGAGGTCGCGGTCATAAAGTGTACTGTACAGGTCGAAAAAAAAAACTAATCGAGATCGAGAAATTTATTGTCAAGGGAAAATAAAATAAATGTAGTATTAAGAACATAACAAAATAAAAACATGTGGTAACTATTATTATTGATACTAATATAAGGCAAAAATAACCCAAACACGTAATTAGATTTAGCTAGATTCAACTTTTATTGCCCACTTTAGCAACATCTGGATCTGCCCCACTGGTTGAACTTTCCTCCTTATGTTTTTGAAGCCGAAGCTGCAATGGTCTGTGAATACCTGTAGTAATATCCGATCGCCGTTTTATTTGCTCTGGCAATAACTGTCGTGAGAATGGACTGTACGTTGATTCAAGCAACGTTCAAGACGAAGTAAAATATCATCATAGGCCACCTTCTACTGTTTCTGGCTACATTGTCCGAATCAACCATTTGGTCTACAGTGTCAACCTGATCTCTCTCGTCTGATTGTCTAATTGATTATCTCTGGCTTGTGCATACTTATCTGTATTTACTAGAGTACAATATTCACTAAAAGCAAAAAAGTTATATTGTATTATTCTGTTTCCCGTATTCATTAATTCAGGTGATATTTCGTCCTGAATTATAAATAGGCTCAACTAATATCTTGACCACATCTACTGGTTTATTGCTGACTATATATTTATTTGTATAATGTAAAATTAAATTTAAGTTCTTCTGGCACGAAATATCTCCAGCATTCATATTCAGTTTTGGCACTTTTTGAACTATTCTTTACTAGAGGCGATTGACACAGAATATTTTGTTTCTGTCGCCTAATTTTATTTCCGTAAATTGGCTTTTTTCCCCACATTGTTACTTTGTCTTTTCCGAAAAAATACTCCCCGTTTTTATATACGTTCTTTTCGCTCTCCTCACTAGAAATATCTTGTTCGCTGTCCGGAGTTTTCTAATCTCTCTTCGACATAATCGATTTCGTCCACGCCACTTTCGTCTTCAAACTCATTTCTTTCATTTTCATCGTCATAATCGAGAAACATACTCTGAAGCTCTTCAACATACTTTGGGTCATCCAACTTATATACCTTTTTCGACATTCCGAATATAATATAGATCACACAACGAAATAAACACGAAACAATATAGGTTCAATCTGCGAGGTCGCGGTATCTGTCAGGTAAGTACAACAACTGTTGTTCGGTTACGACAAACGTTCACGTCTCAACCGCTAGAAATTACCTGAAAGCTGACGTTGTGTGTTTCTCTACTCCTAAAGGCGCGTACAGACTAGCACACGCATGCGGTGAGAAGCCACGCATATGCGTGCGTACTCAAACCATTCGTGCTCAGAGCATTCGTTGAAATTAGAAATCACCGCATATATATGCATGCTCAAGGCGCTCCATCCATTCGTGAAAAAATGTCTGAGGAGCTGCTTATGTTTAGTGCCGCGTTTGTGGTTATTAGTTCATTAAAAAAGAAAAAACAAAGGAAAAATAGGCGATGGTGGACGACGCATTTAGTTAAAAGAAGAACCCTACAAATGAAGTCTGATTAACTAGTAGATTTGGCGTTAAAACCCGATACTGGACCATTTCAAAATTTTACACGTATGTCAGTAGAAGACTTTGAACGCCTTTTAAATTATATAGGGCTCGTATTAAGAAAAACGACACAGTCTTAAGAACAGCCATACATGTTAAGGAACGTTTACTGATAACATAATATAGGGTTTTCTTCATGTAATTCTATTAATTGCAAACATTGTTCATTTGACCACTCCATTTTACACATAAATCAATAAAATGAATAAAACTCAATAAATCTGAACTTGTCTTGCAAATGCAACAAATCCCGACGCTATCCGTCTAAACTGAGCGCGAACGCATACGTGTGTTTCTTTGATGTGTGCGAAAAAACCGACACCACTCTGGCTCGCAGCATGTGTGCTCAAGTCGTTCGCGAGAAGCAACGCATGCAGCGGGAGGTTACGAAAGCGCCGTCCATATTTGCACACGTATGTGTATTCGTGGCTGCTCACCGCATGCGTTTGTAGGTCTGTACGCGCCTTAAGACATAAATGTGAAGCTAAACAGTGCCGTAGAATTTACGATGCACTTCTTTCAAAATATTTATAAAAATGTTTTCAATGTATCCCTCAGATCAGCCGCTACTTTCGGAGGGTTAAACGATTTCTGTAGCCTTTAATATTTAATTAAATAATTATTTTTTCAGTTCTATTTGCACCATATTGGGAACACATTAAAGAAGGTTGGAATAGACGACATGAAGAAAATGTGCTCTTTCTCTTCTATGAAGATTTGAAAAAGGTATAAATTAGATTTTACGAACAAAACTTATCAATAAAATTAATTAATGATTCAACTGACTCAAAGAGACATATTCATTAAAAACTAATATTTTCTAAAAATTGCAATCGTATGAAACAAGTCATAAAAGGTAAACTTTAATATGCTTAAATCAAATAATGACAAAGTTGGGCTAGTACTGCAATATATAACACCAAAAAAACATAATTTTAAACATCTTTGAACATATGTATAATAAGTTTTAAGTGATATTCTACATCTCCATTAGATAAATCCGTTTTTTAAACATACAAACTGTTTCTGTTGAATTAAGGAATTCAGAATAGGGCAAAATGCCAATATTATCACTCACTTCGAGCGAAAATTTATCATGTTCGACCAGTTTGTAGGCCTTCTTTACTTCATCCGTAAATTTATATCCTACAACGTCTGGGTATATCCTTTTCATTGGTCTTTTGAATTGTAGCAACATAGCGATAGTATTGCTTCTTCGTTCTTCCTCTCAGTACCTTTACTAACAGAAAAACTCATTTTCGCTGCCATCCTTGTTACAGGGAAAATATTCAAACCTGTCATTATTGTTAGACTCATCTAAGTTAGACGTTTTACTTTCTGTTTCGGTATCACTTGGTGGCTATTCTTCACTATCGCTTTCAGTTTTATCAGATTGCTGAGCTACAACACTTTTTCCTGGCTCGACATTTAGTTTGGCTCGCTTAATATTTCGCCTAGCTGGTGCAGCTGAATATCTTTTCTCCTTTAGATAATGTACCACAAGGTTGTCGATTTGGCCCTCTGTTTCTTCATCTTCTCTAGGTAACTTATTTAAAACTTTCAGGGTAAATTCCCGTGACTGTAAAGGACGAAACTATAATTCATTTTATATCGCTGTTTTCGTCCGCTGTTTTTGTTTTTTGTCCATGTACTGAAGGTTAATGTTAAAGAAGTTTGGAAAATCTTTTTTATCTATTGTGGTTAATGCAGGGTCACAGTTTTTCCAATCGCTAAGAGTTTCTCTTCAAGCAATTAGAAAGGGACGGAAAAAGCCGACATCAAGTGGTTGGGTCAAATGTGTTGAGTTTTTGACCAACATTGTTTTGTTCGCATAAAGATATCACCTCATCGGTAAAATGTGAGGAATGGTTATCTCCTATGATGATTCTTCAAGACGTTTTGCACGTGGTAAAAAGGTCAAAGTAAACCAGTCCGTAAATGTTTGTGAATCGATCCATCCATGATGGGTGCGATTATATCAAGAACATACAGAGCAGCATCTGTCAGTAACAGCAATCCTGAAGCCGAAGCACACATCATTATAGTCGTTGATGCTTTAGTAAAATTAAAACCCGTTCGGAATATTTGGAGCCGTGTTGAAATATCATTTTCCTATGTCCGTGGTTATGTAGTATATTGGTCTCGTCGTAATTGAATATGTTATTAGGTGGAATATTTTCTAATTCTCTACGCAGATTCTCGAAGTAAACAACTAAAGTTCCTTTTGAAATATTAGCTCTAGCTCTAGCACTTTTTTTGGTAATTTCTCCTTTATGCCATCTTAGTAGTAAATATAACCAATCGGAGACCAAGAGTCAAGAGGCACTTGTCGACCCTGGGCATCCAAAACACCTTTGGCTAGATATTTTATATCTCGCAATCGCTACCTCATTTTGCAGCATGCTGTATAATGAGTTTTTCTACGTTCGTGGAAAATACAGTCTGCCTACCATTTTTATTCCATGTCGGCCATAATTGCGGTTACTAACAGTTCCATACAGAATTTTATATTCTTCGGCAACGCGACGTAAGGACCATCGTTCCTTAAGAACTTTCTGGAGGGCATTTTACACCCTAACTTCGTCATAGTCCTTATATGGACGAGCACCAAGTTTTCTTATATAAGTTCGAACCATTTTTCCTGAAAAGAAAGCACAAATTTAAGATTTCTTCAGAAAAATTGTTATCAAACTCATCGGTCAATGATTTTAATTCATTCACCATGTGGCTTTAATAGTGACAACTGCATAATGTGTTCGTCCTAATATGTGTATTTTAATAATTCTTTGTCCACAAATGTTTGTTAATTAAATAGATAATTTTGAAATGCCATATTAGATATATACACTTAAATTGTCTGAGTGGTATATAATTTTGAAAAAAGTTTTATACAAGATATTTGTCCATTTTTTTCTTTTCACTACAATAAACACCTCGAGAATTTTTTTCACAACTTTTTGCTGCAACCTCATTTAACTTTCGCCTGAAGATATTAGAGAAATCTAATGAAATATAGGGTAAATGTGCTAATACGTACTTAATGTACTTAAATGTAAACGTAAATGTAAACGAAATACTTAATATTAAAAGTGCGACATTTTTTTATTTTTACGAAAATGGACTATTTATCATTCCTCACATTGTTAATCAACCATTTAAAAAGATGTTTTGGAATAGTTCTAAACTATGTTTGTATTCAAAGAAGAAATATTTAATTTTGTTTGCGAAGCTGCTAATGCGTACTCTATTACTGAATTGTACAAAAATTAAGACATTCCAAAAATCAAACTTTATTTCTAAAATAAACGCAACACAAATACATAAAAAAAGAAATATAAAAAGTATCTTTTAGAACTCATTTTTATTTCATCTTTAAATCCATTGCTACTCCTCACATTAAAACACATGAAGTCTCCTGTTATGTAAGTTGTACAAGATTCGTGCCTCCAATTCTTGCATTGAAAGCACATGATCCAGTATTCAACAGAATTTGAATAAAATTCATTACATCCTGGGCACGTTACATCAGGATGATTTTCTTTATTCCCTTTTTGAACTTTGCGCAATGATTTCCTACAACTAGGCACTAATTTTCTTTTTATTTGTTTCTCCTTCTTCTGTTGTTCTATTTCTTTAGTTTTTTCCAAATTCAAAAGTTCTTTTGTAGGTATATCGGCTACTGTAAAGTATTTCGGACTTTTGAGATTTCGTTTTGCATCGATTAGGCTTTTCTTTGATTTTTTGTAATGGTAAAATCTCTGCCGCTGACACTGACATATTTAAGCTATTAGTGCTAGATTTTAATGATATTAATACACCATCTTCGCATTCGATATTAATATTAGCCACATAGAGAGGCGGTGTAACGTGAAAAGAGATTAGATCATCTTCATTCTCAGGCTGCTTTGAAGGAGGTATTACTTCAGATGGTATTGGAAGCTGAAGTCCATTATTTTCTTCTTCTACACGGACTCCATTTAAAGTATTATCTACTACCGCGCTTACTAGATTATCCAAAGGTACGTCAGTAACATAGGAGGGGGCAAAATTCATGTCATGAAACTGATCAGGGTTAAACGGATATATTCCCGATATTTTAAAAGAATTTTCGGCTTTGTAAATATTTGCTACAGAACCATGAGCAGTACTAAATAATCCAGCAACTTAAAATTGTGTAATTTACCTGGATTACTTACCATCCACTTGTCACATTTCCTACTGTAGGTTTTTTTAAGGACCTTAAAAACCAATATCCAGTGGCTGTAGTTTATGGCTTGAATGAGGCAGTAGAGATAAAAGATCAATGTGATTCTATCGGCAATATTTTATAGGTTGAAGGTCACGATGAGAGCTGTGATTGTCGAGAATTAAAAGAACTTTGTTTTCAGCGCTGCGTTTGGCAAACTTATTAAAATGGATTAACCACTTACAAAAAAGATCCGTGTTGATATATCCAGATTCAGAAATTATTTTCAGAGTTTCACATGGTGCATTTAAAAACAGCTCTTCCTTCATTCTTGTTCTGGGGAATATGAGTGCTGGAGGAGTTACCTGTGTAGTTCATGCAACATACAGCTGTTACAAGTTGTCCACGATCTGCACTAGCTACCTTCCCTACAAGTTTCTTTCCCTTGCTCGCTAATGTCTTCGCTAACTTATTAGGCACGGTTGATAAACCCGATTCATCCATGTTATATATTGAACTTGAAGAGTATTACCTCATTTTATAAAGATTCTTAAGGTTATCGTAAAATATTGTTACTTCATTTTTATTAAAACCCATAATTCGGGCCATCGAACATTTTTCTGCCTATCGAAGCGCAATTTTGTCCCGCTGACAAAATCCTCTTACCCATCACCACCAAAGATTATTAGATTCAGCAAATTTATAGCTGGTATTTGCAATTTTTTTTGTAATTCCATAAAACATCTGATCTAATTCTCGTATCTGTTGTGCTAATTCGGCTTCTAGGTCGCTTGGAATATCGTTTTGAAATCGTCCCAATGATTTAGGTACATTTCCACACTTTAATCTTTTTCTTAATGTTGCCTCATTCATTCCCATATCATTCGCTACACTTCTTTTACTATATCCTGCTTCTAATTTTTGCTGTATTTCTCGTAAGTTTTTTTCAGTAAAAATTAACTTTCTATCGGTTTTTCGCTTGTAACGACTCATTATGAATTTAAAATCTGAAAATAAAAAGAAAACTTAAAACAAATAAAAAATTGTTTAAGAGTACCCAATTATGTATAAGAGTTCGCATTGAGTAATGTTATACATATGCATTTTGTGATATTAAAGCGTTTATTACGAAAACAAATAGATTTACAGCCCATTTTTTTTAAAGCAGAAAGTTTAGAATTATTTTATACAAAACTGATGGTTTGCTTACCTTTCAATTGACTAAATTGTGAACTCACAAAATTATAAATCTGAACGGCAACTATTTGCAGCGACCATATTGACAAAACTAGGACGATAATGCAGATTTATGTTTATGACCGTGCAGTAGGAATGTATTTAGAATGTCTTCAATTAAAAATTACTTTAATAGATGGCGATATATATTAAAAATAATAGGTGGGTACTCTTATACACATGCGTGCTCTTATACCTACTCACTTACCCTGACGATATCGTTGATAAGAGTAATAAGAGTACACTTTGTTACATCACTACATCATTTTCTTTGGTTACCTATCTCCATTCATACGGCTTATATGTCTGTACCATCTTAAACTCTTGACTTCAATTGCATCAATTATTGTTGTCTCAATATCCATCCTTTTCCATTCTAGTCATTTATTTGTCTTCAAAACCAAATTTGCATTACAAATAGCTTCTTTTTTAAATATTCTCGCATTCGCTAGACCGATGCTCTTGATCATGATCGAAATTAAAGTTATCTTCAATAAAAAAATCTTTATATGAAGCTGATAAAAATCTAGCATGTTATAGTGTGTGTGCACATTATATAGTGTGTTTATTTAATTATGTTATTTAGTTTTGTTTTCTGTATATACCATTTCAAATATCTTATTTTTTTCAGAACTTAAGACCTAGTATAAAAAAGCTATCTTCATTTTTGGAACAGAGTTATTCAGAAGAGGAATACGACATACTGGAAGACTATGTGAACATAGAAAATTTCAGAAATAATAAAGCAGTAAACAGTGATGAAGACAAAGACCTGGGAGTTATGACTGAGGCTGCAACAAGCTTCGTTAGAAACGGTGTTGTCGGAGGATGGAAGTCATACTTTACCGATCAACTAAACGCCGAAGCTGATAGATGGATAGAAGAGAATTTAGATACATGTGATTTAATATTTCCTAGTTAATAAAGTAAATAAATGTAAATAAGTGATAACTTTTACATAAATATTTTTGAAAGGGGGCGAGTTTTCATTATTACTAGTTATTTTCGGTGCTCTAACACCGAAATTCCTGAGATTTTGTTACCTTCAAGCGTAAGGATGAGACTTGAATTTTCAAAGCATTTAAATTACTTTTCTTCCAAGTTGGAAGTAGAATCTAGAACAGATCTTCTATAAGTTTCTATTAAATGCATTATATGTTTTTAAAACACTTTTACTATTACATGTACCCAAAAAGGTACATACTTGACTTTTATGAACAGATTATTGTGTTCATTTCATATATGGTCACAAGTTTTGGCTCAATTATATATGACGCCACAATGTACAAAATTTAGTATTATTTATTGAATTCTATTTATTGAGAAAATTACCCAATCTGCTTGATCAACATTCCATTTTTTCCTACTATATTTACAATCTATATTGCTTACATTAGCGTTTATATTCATTTTCATACAAATAACATAATGGTTTGAGCCTAGTGTTGTATCGTTTACATCCCAGTTAAATAAATGAGCAATATCGGTTGTACAAAAGGTAATATCTATGGCTTTTCTCTACCAGTAGTTAAATATATAATAACACTCTCATCAGCTGCTTCTAATACATTTTTATCCGCTCCATCCGTAGTACTATAACCCCGAGAACTATTGTGAATAATATGTGTTAAAATCAACTCCATTCTAATTCTGATAAAATATAATACACAGTTTTGGTTGCAATATATGTACAAATATTTTTTGAAATCGGCAACACTGTGATAATAATTTTTGTCGCTTCACCGGTCTCGTTACAGTTTCCTTCTTTGTTAGTTTGGCGTCCTTAGGATATATCGCATAGATGGCGAAAAGTGAGACTAAATATGAAATTAATAATAAAATATAATTTAGGTAAAGAAATAATAATAAGACTTACAATCAATTTAATTTAACAATCTGACGACCGGTTTCGCTTTCTACAATTTGCAAAGCATCTTCAGGTCTAGATACAAAGTTAAACTAATGCTGCAATAAAATAAACCCAATTAGGGTGGTGTCTAATAAAGATAAAATAAACAAATAAGTTAGTTCATACAAATTATAGTAATTATGCCAATATTACATGTCTGTGGTTTTCAAAATGAATAAATTTAAATATATAAAAGGTATTAACAGACAAGGTAAGACCCACAATTGGTATAAAGTAGTAATATTATATTGTAATAAATTAATAAATGAGCAGATAAATAAAACTCTATTAACTGATGGATGGTAGGTCATGGTTGCAAAAATCATGTATTGTTGATTGGAGAACTTTAATGTGCTATTGCAGTTGTTTTGGCAATAAACGGGAAGTTCTTGAGGAGAACAGATTTGATCCAATGAATTAGAGATAGGTATATTGTGGTTGTTTGTCAGATGAAAGTGATGTTCTTTACTATTGTATTATTTAAATTATTTACACTTATATCAGAGATATATTTTTGGAATGTGTGTTATTTATTGAGTGTTTATGTAATGAAGGAGACAGTTTTATGACATAAAGTTATGACAGTTTTGTCATAAAACTGTCTCCTTCATTACATAAATACTCAATAAATAACACACATTCCAAAAATATATCTCTGATATAAGTGTAAATAATTTAAATAATACAATAGTAAAGAACATCACTTTCATATGACAAACAACCACAATATACCTATCTCTAATTCATTGGATCAAATCTGTTCTCCTCAAGAACTTCCCGTTTATTGCCAAAACAACTGCAATAGCACATTAAAGTTCTCCAATCAACAATACATGATTTTTGCAACCATGACCTACCATCCATCAGTTAATAGAGTACCGGCATGTAAGTAATGTTTGTTTTGTTTTATTTATCTGCTCATTTATTAATTTATTACAATATAATATTACTACTTTATACCAATTGTGGGTCTTACCTTGTCTGTTAATACCTTTTATATATTTAAATTTATTCATTTTGAAAACCACAGACATGTAATATTGGCATAATTACTATAATTTGTATGAACTAACTTATTTGTTTATTTTATCTTTATTAGACACCACCCTAATTGGGTTTATTTTATTGCAGCATTAGTTTAACTTTGTATCTAGACCTGAAGATGCTTTGCAAATTGTAGAAAGCGAAACCGGTCGTCAGATTGTTAAATTAAATTGATTGTGTGTAAGTCTTATTATTAGTTCTTTACCTATTTGATATGGACTCAGACAAGCAACACATTCATGATTTAAAATATAATTTATTTATAAATATCATTTGGTAGTCAATTTATTTTATTATGTCTTGTATATTAATATTATAGTATATTGGAGTGTAAAGCTAGTTCTCGTCCAACGTACTGCACATGCACCCTGGGAAATCTTAATAAACTAGCATAAAAGTCGCGAGACAGCCTTTCACAAGATCTTACAGAAAGCAATCAGTTTTACCTTAGAAGAATTACCTTACTTTTTCAAAAATAGAATTAAAAATTCTTCATTTGCCCCTAAAAACTGTTGCTAAAAATGTGAACTCAAAATCATTTAAATCTCTTAAAAACCCTTTAGCCAGCTGAACTGATTTGCAGCCTGACTCTTCAGAATTCATTATATTATCAAAAACCTCTTTTAATTTTTTCCAGTCTTCAATATTTACACTGATTAATTTTGAATTAGACTTGTCTCTATAATTGTTGGCATACGTCTAGCCTATGTAGATGCAAGAGCGTAAGATCGTTTTGCTGAACTATGAAAAAACGATGGAATTCCGGTAATAGTTGCAAGAAAAATTCGACATTTTGATATTTTCTTAAAGCTCTGTTGCAAAACAAAATTAAACTAGTGAGTGAAGACGGATAGTTTATTTTTCAATTGATCTGCACTTCCTAGTTTCCTCAGCTATCACTAACGACAGGCTGACATCACGTTGCAATGGCAACCGTGAACGCTTGTGCAGTTGAATTCAGCATTTCAATAATGATATTCACCTATTCCTAAATCGTACACGGCTAGTGACACAGGTCAGGTCTTGGCCGTCAAGTACCTACCGCTAATAAAGCTGGTTATCTTTTTTAATTTTTAGATTAATTAAAAACGAATAAATAATTAATTTCAGAATTTAGATATAATAATAATTCCTTTTATTTTTTATTTATTTGACTCAATTTAATTATATTTTTTGGTGAACCTCACGTTCACCTACTTCATTTGGCCGGCCGCCGCTGATGGTGAGTTTAATTAAAAAGTCTGTTTCCAAAAAGTATTTGACCTACTTTTGTTTTTCTTCTTCAAGGAAAGTGTGTGTATATCTTTTGCCGCAATGGAAAGCCATCATGAGTGGCATAAGTACAACAAAGATGTGTATTCAGCTTCCATATTTTCACACATTGTTTTGAAAACATCTTGCTTTTAATGGCTGAATTTTTATGTACATATTAGTGTGATGTGGAGAAAGAATATAAAATGATTAAACATAGTTTTATACAACTTGTATTTTTAACTAACAGTGAAGGTATGATTATAAACCTTTTTTTTACATAGACAATTCACATTACATGTGTTGCTTGACTTTCTTCTTCTTTTCTCTATACCTATTATAATATACTACAATACCTTCCCACTATAAATTTAAACACACAGGTGGTTTTACATTTCTTTTTGGTCTACTTGGAACTGCTGTCTCACTTTCTTTGGTCTCTGGTTTTTCATTAACCTCATTATCACTGCTTCACTTGCTACTTCATTACCAGACTCTTCAAAATTTCTCGCTTCAATATCACTTTGTTTTACACTGCCCATTCTCTTACAGCTGAGGGGGTCCACCACTGGTACTAATTGTATTAATATTATTAGTTATATCAGTTACAATGGTTTCATTAAGGCTATCGTAGTTAGAATCAGATTTTTTATCTCGCAAAATCTGGTCTCAATGACTTTTCCAAATTAAACACTCCTCTGTTAACTTACACAAATATATCCTGTCACCTAAAAGTTCATCTATTATTGCTTTTGAAAAGTTTCAATTCGTCTATTACTATTTAATTAATTATCAATTAATTAAGAACTCTAATTCTCACTACACGTCCATAACAAATCTAATCGGGTTTTAACTTTATGTTTAAATACAAGACTGGAGGGTAATACACCTGTAGTACAGTTTACTAAATTTCTATAATGGAACAATAACTTACTGATTATAATTTGTAAAGAATTATTACAGTTGTAATCATCCTTCAATCAAAATTTTTTAATAGTCTACCCAGCGGTCAAATTATTCATAATAAATACTTCTGGCGATTTTGTAAAAGTATCAATGATTATCAAAATCATTTTATTTCTTATGGGACCCAGAAAATCAGCATGCACCCTTTCAAGCGTACATGTTCCCATTTCACATGATATTAACTTAGCTTTACTTGGTTCTACTCTAAACCCTAAACAAATTTTACAATTATTTACATAAGATTCAATGTCTGTATCTAAACTTGTCCACCAAAAATAAGCTCGTACATTTACTTTTATCTTGGAAATTCCTTCATGTGCATTGTGTAATTCTAACAGCAATTGTTTTCTTAACTTTGTTGGCACTACTACTCGAAATCTCCACATAACCACCCCCTTCTCCGCAGATAGCTATTCTTTTCTTTTTAAAAACGGTTTAATTATTTCATCGACTGTCCTCGGGAATCCATACCTAATATGGTTAAACAAACCACCTAACACCGGATTTGTCCTGGTTTCTACCCTTATATTGAGGGTATCACTTGGAGCCAACCCTTCTATAAAATGTAGACAATCAACATCTTCCTCTTTTTCGCTTACTGTTTTCTCTAGTGGAAGTCGACTCAAAGCATCTGCCTGCACATTGTCAGCTCCTTTGATAAATTTAAAAACATAATCTAATCCTGACAGAAACAATGACCAATGTTGTAACCTTGCTGAGACCATTTTCGGAAGACTTTTAAACTCACCAAA